CGATTTGTTTAACGTGGCTACATCAAGCCAAACGACTGTTCACACGTACTCCCAGATAAAAGAAGGTTTTCAATGACCACACGAACTGATCAGTGCTGTAGGTCGCAGATGACAAGTTGAAAAGCACTGCTGAGCGAGTTTTGCGAGATTTGAATATTTCTTCGGAGTAGTTCCTGACATTCAGTCCTAGTTCACTTTCGTGGGACCATATTTCATGTGATTATATGAAAAATTCGCCTCAGTAAAATACGTAAAAGTTTTCTCCGTTCCACACTGCCGCAATCATTGCAGTGCTGTCGGCATGTTTTAGGTTCATATGAGGAAAGTTGACTTGACAGTCGTTTGTGTAAATCGAAAATAACATACGGTTCATGCACTGATCCTTGAAGCACAGCGAGATTATTTTCTAGCTTCTGAGATCTGCCTAGAAGTCTGAAAAATTGCGATCAATCTGAAATGTTCGCTGCGATATCGCACCTAATAAGGAAGTTAAAAGAATGTGAGAGAAATTAAAAGAGTAAACGACCCGTGGAGATGGCAGGATTACCTGAAGAAGTTTTTTGTTGAAGATGAATAAACATAGCAGGAAACAGATATATATATATATTGCAATGTCTTGAAGAAGCCTCCATTCAGCGGTTGAGTGAAAAAGGCTTATGGTGATGGTGATAACTACACAAAGTTTTCAAACAGCACTGGCAGTCATCAAGTTAAGAAATAAATATTTTTGATTAATGTTCTCAATTTATCACGTTTATCAGTAAAGTAAATTTGTTCTTACCCGCTATTCTGGAGGCAGTTCTCTTTTCTCTTTTCCTTCCAAGATTCATGAGTTCGGTCCATATTTGGTCAGACTGTTTCTATAATTCCTAATCGTTAGACTCATTAGACACTGTAATTTTTAATAATCAAATATCGTTACTTCAGAATTGAAGGCATAGATAATTTTTTTTATCATATCGCTGCCAACTCGATAGACAACTCACCTATTAGTGTCAGCTATGCACGCTTGAAAACTAATAAGCGCTTAATATATAGTTGTTTGCCTAGAAATTATTAATGTAACAGTCTTTTTTCTACCTGTGTAATATTTGTGAATACTACATTCAGCTTTACAAGTGCAGTAAGAATCGATGTCTATTTACTGTTTATTAGCCTTACTAACGAATAATTTGCAGGGCTCGTTTCGATGGATGAGTATGAATCTTTCCGTCTTAGCGAAATGAAATTTTTCTACCGAAAGACATCGTATAATGACTAATGTTAAATTACCTTGAATTCGGTGAGTTGTTCACCCATCTCCTTGAGAGTGTAATCTATTTCCTTCGTTACCATCGGCAGCAGAAGCAGATAGTATATAGTAGAGGCGGTGGACAGTACCGCCGCTGCGACAGAAGCAACTTTCACGTGGTTCATCGCACAGCAGTGAAAACACAGGTACTGCCCCGTCGTCGTAGAACGATGTCCCCACAACCAGCTTTGGGGAGGTCAGTCGGAACTGCCTTGTTAAACGCTCTTTGCTGGCTAAGGACTGCAGTTTCGCTCCATTACCTACCGGTCAGCAGTGACTTGACGAATGGGGACTGAGGAAAGTTGTGTTGCGTAACGGCCTCTGATTGTCACCGTCAGTCGTAGACTTTTGTCATCGTTTGATTCGAGAAGAAAAAAGTGACGAGCACGCTCCAAACCGGGTCACAGTCCGGTTGATGAACCAGCTGTTTTTTGTTCACACAAAAAGGCAATGGAAAGTTAAGTGAAAGCGAGAGAAAAGCCAGAAATTCAGCCGCTATCAGACAGTTCTGACAAGGATACCTTTTCGTTTTTAACCATGCATCTCATGTAGGTAATATGTCATGAGTCTTATGCGATTCGTACGCTTAGGCTTCCGTGTGCCGTTTAATCAATGATAAATCGTTCGACTGACGACAACTTTTCTTATTTCTAGCTTGAAAATAGTTTAGATGACTAAACTGGGAGCGATCAGTCATGTCTGAAAAGCAATAGTATTATTCCTAATGCTTTTTATTTTTGGTCGATCGCTAGGAGCAGGATTGTAGGAGATATCGTTTGAGTGCATTTAGCTTTTATAGTAATTTTATGCGAAAATGGATATGAGCAAAACGATGTGGAAGAATGAACAGATAATGATGAGAATATAAAAATTGTTAATTTCATGTTCACATGATGCAGTCAGCGTTGCACGCATTATTCCTGCTTTGGCATCGATAAATTCACTAATACATTAGTAATCTATTTGCTATATTTATGTAGCTGTATTTTTTATTTATTTAGCTAATTCGGTTAATACCTCCCTTTCTCTGCATACGTGAATCTCCGGTTTGAATAATCAGTTGCAGTGGGCGTAAAGACTGATTGAAAATATTGACAATCGCCTTTTATTGTTGATTTTCTGGCAACGTTTCTTGATTCATTAGGACACCTACTGTTCAGTGATGTTTATGAAACGAGTCTTCGATAGCTGAATCATTTTTTGCTGCGAGGAAATGAACTTTCGCAATGCTGCGCAATGAACGATCAAAAGCCTGTTGAATAGCCCAGGCGTTGGCACCGACAGTTGTTTAGGCGCCATCAATCATCTTCAGCATATAAAAGTTCTGCTCTTATTGGCGCAGTCACACCATTAATGGAATACTCGATGACATCCTTCTTTGATGTTTCTTGCTCGATCGAAACGTTTTCGTTATTTGCCCTTTCACAGCCGGTGAAAACGGCAGCGAGTCGGTAGTCATGCTAGAACATACAATTTTCACTAGAAACGAAGGCGAACCATTTCTAAGCGGTACAACTATTTATGAATGAAAAAATGTTGCAGTATGAGAAACAGCCAAACAATCCTTCTTTTAGCAGATCCTCTTCAGTTCATAATTTCTGTCAATCAGTCACTCTATCCATTTCCATCACGAATTCCCGTTGATTCAATGATTTCAGTTTTATTCGCTTAACTTTGTTGCAGTATGTAAATTCCAATATAAATTTCATGCAGCATGTTTTAAAGGGGACCGTTCTAGTACCCTGATTGGTTACATAAGTGAGTTTCAAATGTACGCGGATCACCGCAGAAATGATGTCATTTATCACATGGTTTATTCACAGATTTTCGTCGCCATGAATGTAATACGGAAACTGTAAATTCTCTCTCCCACTCTCTAACTCTATTGTATCGATTACTTTTCAAGACAACTGCTATTCAGTAATCGAAGCTTAAAACTTCAGATCGAGCTGCACTACTTATAGAGGTAACTACGGCCAGCTTATGTTGAAAAGTTGACGCTTTACCATTCAATATGCTTAGTTTTTTACATGGTTTCTACTTTTTTTGCACTAAAATATTAAGCGAACTTCAGAATCCTTGTGCATTGTCAAAAGTCGTTGAGGCCGATAGACCAACAGCATTTCATTCTTTGAAGAAAGTTCATCATTTTCGATTAGTTTTGCCTTCAGGTGATTCAAGAACGTTTCATGCATTTTAGGTGATGAGTTAGCATGTGAGATTATAAAATATACAGAACAAAATTATTTGTATATCGTCCATAGGATACTGAAACGTAAGACTTTAAAGCATGGCCACATTTCTGAAACATTTGCCAAATCAGCCAAATGAGACCTTTATCATTAATACGCTGATTCATTGGTGGGAAAAACATTCTGAAACTCATGTATCAGTTAACATGTCAATGAGCCTTGATAAATGAAACTGCCCGAACTTTGCATCATGCCTATGAATGAAGGACGATGTGTATCATTGTGAAAAGGCTTCATAGTCGTGGTGAGAGAGCACTGATAAACATTTAGATTTCTGATTGTTAAAACATGGGCATTTATCTGTCTGTTTCACGTAGTTGTTCAGGAATTTCATAGGCAGAAAATGAAATAGAGCCATTACGCAGTAAATACTTTCTGTTAGTTGTTATTTCGCATTCTGGATTTGCTGCAGTCAGATAATACGGCTTCTGTTTCGTAGTTTGAAAATTTCGGTTTCGTCCCTGGGATGATTGAATCACTTTTCATAATTAGTGCAAGTCGACAAATCCGTTTAATTTTGTGAAAGAATGCAGAAAATTGCTCGTCGTAGTCGTTCATATATCTAAATGTTGTATCTTAGAAATTAAGACTGATGGCTTGTGACATTGGATCAGGATCAGCGCTTTATTTCATTAGAAGCCTTGTCACAGAAGGACTTCATGTTCTCTCTTTACTGCAGTGGAGGCTGGAACGAAATTTCAACGGTTAAGGATTTTTCCTTCATGTATTCAGAGTTGAGGGACATAACCGATTATCATTTCTTTAATTAGATCAACTGATAAGGTTTCATTTCAGTAATCACTGCAAATTGGTTTGATTAAGCAGTCCAGAACAGAATTGAAATAACATCGAAATTTTTCTCGTTTGGGAACCATGCACTGACGTAGAAAAGTTGGAGAACAATAAGAAGAACGTGGAAACACCTCTTTGAAACAAAACATCTTGCGAAAACAAATATTACCTTTGCCACAATAGTGAACACAGCCTAATATCGATTTGAGATTCAGTTTATAATGCTCAGCCTTAATAAATGTGGGCTATTCTGCTCTTTTAAGCTATGCTAATCTCAGATGATGACAAACACTAGCACTAGTCGCTGTAATATTCGAACGTGCAAAGAATACCTGGAAATTTGCTAGAAATCAGCGATTGCTTCTTCATACTTCAATAAACAGAGATTTTAAAAACTGATGAGAACATATTCCTGCCTGTTAGTCGCCAGTTAATTATGTCAAAAATTAACTGATTTATGATAAAATAAGATAGTAACTGCAACGTAGATATAGTAGATACGTTAATTTCTGAACGGTTGGTCTTCTGGCATTTTCTAACTTTAATGTATTATCAAACTTTTCAGACCCAGTTTCATTTAAGTAAATGAGTTTTTATATTGTAAAAAGAAATGTGATTTCATGAATTTTGTAATGGCACTTGTTATCAAATAAGTGGCCGGATTCGCTTCATTCGCTTTTCGTGA